TACATAATTAATATTTATTTATTTATTTTATAGATAAAACAAACAATTTAGGGCTTGAACTTTACATATTACATGCAGAAATTAATGGTTCTGGATATCTGATTGTATATCTGTTTTTAGAAAGTAACAGCAAATCTGGAAATGGAATACGAACAGATACTATTTTAACCTTTCTTAATGAAATTAAGCTACAAGGTTTAATGCCTGAATTCGTATTGACAGATAAAGATTTTGTGCAGATTTCTGCAATCCGTTTTACTTGGCCAAATGCTAAGATTCAATTGTGTCACTAGCATGTAAAAAATGCAATTAATAAATAATTAGCATTAAATAAATTTCCATTACAAGTTACTTATAAGCATAGTAATGCTTATGAGTATTTTTCTTTTATCAAAAAAGATTTTGTTCCACAATTTCCAGTTCAAAAAGGTACAATTTTTTGTCCTAAAGAATTATACATATCAGTTTGGGAATTAATAGATAAACATTTATATCTTCATCCATTAATACCAACTTCTAATTTGAAACTAACATGTTTACAAATTTGGGAACAGGCTGTAAGAGAAATTTATATTTTTTGCAAAGATAATTCGTTACCTTTTCTCTGAATTTATCTTTAGAAAGAATGGTACTATGCAGATCAATAGGCTTTATGGATGCGAGCAGGTTGTGAAAACAAAGTCTCTGTCTTAAAAACAACTATGTTTATAGAGTCACACTGGAAAGTAATCAAACAAGATTTCCTTTACAAGTTTTTCTGTTCAAGACTAGATATAGTCATTTATATTCTTATGAATCAGAATGGAAACGATTAGCAAAAAAGAATGTTAAAAAAGAGAGTAATAAACTTTATACTACGAATATAGAACAGTAGACATGCAGCTGTTCTTATTATCTTACAAACCAGTTTCTCATATGCAAACATCTTGTTCATAAAAAGGGAATAGTATCATCACAATTCTTTGACCAAATAAAATGAAATAATTAATATCCGTTTTTAATTGAAGCAAAAGAAGTTCAAGATACTGGTTTAATTTGCTCTTCAACAATTAATATAGAAACTAGTAATTACGATCAGAATACTAGTAATTACGATTAGGATACTAGTAATAACTATCAAGATACTGGTAATAATGATCAGAATACTAGTAATAATAATCAGAATACTAGTAATAATGATCAGAATATTAATGACAATAATCAAATTGAAAATTCAAATGTCTTTTTTGATCAACTAATTGATACAATACAAAAAGCACTTGACTTATTATATGAATACAAAGATACAAAAAATATTAAATAGGGTAAAAGCGTAAAAAAAAACTTTCAAGCAATTAATATAATGGTTAAACAAATTGAGACCTATCGCAAAAGAAGAACTATGCTGAGGACTTGGAAAGATCATACACATAATATACTTTTTTTAAATTAGGTAATTTATACTTACACTGATTATAGGAAT